GGGGGTCTCCAATCTCCTGCTATTTCAGAAGGGGACGCAGCGCAGGAGGTGACGGGTACATGGTCACAATGGGCTTGGAGATACCAGGACCCCCACGGGGAGCCCAGAATCCCTTCGTGGGGTCATGGTGGCTCTGAGCATCCCGGAACCAACAACGAGGATGCCAGTAGCTCTGCCACGGGGACACCGGGACCCCTTGGTGTGCTTGAGGTGGCTTTGGGGATACCAGAAACCATCACGGGGCCACTGGAAGCAACATGGAAAGCACAGAGCGGAAGTGACATAGAGAGACACAGAGGGGGGCGTGGAAGGGACACACGATCTCTGATGATCAGTGGAGCCCTCTGACAGCCAACAAAGCCTTCAGATGACCACTGACAATCTCTGATGGCAAACTGAGCCCCCGATGATCGGCGGGCTGCTGCTTCAAGTGCAGAAAAGGGAAGTGAGTGGTGAGAAAGAATATTTTGTCATCATTTGGTTGAAAGCACCATGGTATAAAGATTTCTTCGGATTTAATCAAGCACAGAATTTGGAGACAAGTGTGACTGCATGACGCTTGAGTGTGCTGCCCGGTGCCTGGGACCGGCTGCCTGACTCTAAGTCCTCCTCCAAGAGGCTCGGCTGCTCCACAGCGATGCCGACCCGCTCCTCGTGGAGGTGCTGCCGTGCGGGCACTTGGACTCCGCTTGGGGCGGGCTGCACTGCCGTCCCCCGCGTCCCCGCCATCCTCGTCCTCTGCCCGCAGCCCTAGCCTGGGCCATGCGGGACGCGCGCGGAGATGACGCAATGACCGTGCGACCGCGGACGGAACGGACCCCGCGCGGAGCGCCCGCCCCATCCAGCTGACCGACCAATGGCAGCGCGGAGGAGGGGGGCGAGCGCGGGCTCTCCGCCAATGGCGGCCGCGGACGGGGAGTCGGCGCGATGGTGCCGGCGCGACGGTGGAGCCGCGGGACTCGGCGCGGGGAAAGAGGCGCTTAGCCGCCCCGCCGCCCCGCCGCCCCGCCGCCCCGCGTCCTCGGCGCCGCCCGCACCGTGCAGGGAGGTGCGGAGAGGACGGAGCCAGGCTGCACCCGGCAGTGCCCAGCAGGGGGACCGCAGGCACTGGGCACACGCTGCAGCGCAGCAGTTTTCCCCACAGTGCTGCCACGGCCGCGCTGCTTCCCCGTTTTGGGTACTACTACTGGATATGTATGGCTGGGCTAATAAACCCCCAGAGACCCCACTGTGGTGCGCAAGCTAGGAGGAGCGATCCCCCTTGCACCCGGCGTGTTGCACAGCGCTGAAGGAAAGACGTATCTGCTCTCATAACCTGACGTGGGTTCGAGAGTTTAATTCCACAGGTCAGTTGGGCACCCCAGATGGGACACTCTCTGTTCGGCTGCAGGACCAGTTGAGGAGGGAGACGCCTTTGGCGCGCCCCGAGAATTCTTGGAAGGACTCCCCCTGCTCATCCGATCACTGCGGGGACAGACGGGGACCATGTGGAAGCGGACCAGGTACGTTTAAAGGGAAGGCTCCGTAAGGCGTACGCAGGAGCCGGGGACTCCGTCAGACGTGAGGGGCCGCCCCACGCGGGAGGGCTTTACCCTGCGGGTGGACTAGTGCAGGGGTGCGGGGCGGGAAGGTAATGACCGGGAAGGACAGGTGCCTTGTAGCACTGTGTCTGATTGCAGGGACTGTGGGTTCGAGCCCCACCTCTGGCTAGCACTTGTAAGCTAGGCTAGCGCTTGGGCACTGGTAATCACGAGTTCATAACCATCTAGAACTCAGGTCAATTCCAGGGATTGTGTGTTAGAGTCCCACCCCGAGTTAGCGAGGTACAGTGCTGACAGCTGTCAAGTGATAACCTGCATCATTGCAGCCGCGGCAGTAGGAATAATGATCTGCGCTGTTGTTGCCATCTGCAAATGTCCAGCGCTGTGTGTTTGAACAACTGCTGTTGGTTTATTCGGGATTTTAATTTGAGGAAGCTGCTGAGTTTAACTTTTTTTTTTTTAAATGAGCGTATTTATGGGAGAATTCAGGATCTCTCCTGAAGTGCACGTATTGTGCATTTCTATCATGTGATAAATCTTATGCCCTGGCTTGAGCCCTTTTTGCTCATCTGAGTACAGATGCACGATTTCAGGCCAGCCACTGTTTTCTTTAAGACTCCAATTAAACTGTATTTGCATGCTGTGGCTGTGAAGTTCAAGGTCCTGGCAACAGATTGCATTGAGGACCAGATCAGAAGACCTGGAAAATGGGGCCTTGTCAACTCCCTTGACTGCTTCTTAAAACAAGTCCTGGCGGATGGCTGCTCAGAGCTGTATTCTCTGCTTTATTGATGTGCAGATAAAAGACTGGTGATGTTTCTTACTGGTGCTTGAAAACAAACACTCCAAAGCCCACGGAAAGATCACCACCTCCAACCACAAAGCTACCAGAGGAACTGTAGAGCATAACAGCTTCTATAGCTACTGCTATTAGAACTTTTTGATCTCAAGTGCCTGCAAAGGTTAGTGTGCTTTCCATGGGTGTTTGTTTTTTTGCTTTGTTTTTTATCCTTGAGTAGACATTTGATTCCTTTCAGTTTGAGAAAATAGAGTGAAGTGCCTCCGTATTCTTATCCCACTTGAGACTCTCGTCTGTGTAAGCCAGCATTTCTTTGTGCATGGCAAAAGGGAAGTACTTTGTCATGCTGGCTTCTGAAAACGCGGCTTGGCAATTACTGTGCCAGCAGTCTTGTGCTGCCTGTGCCACAGTTCTGCAGAGAGGTGGCACATATGGTGATGGTGAAGGCAAATGCCTTGATTTTCTGCTTGTTACTGCCTATGTAACAGCGTTCAAGAAAAATGGCTGTCATGTCATCTGAACAGTTCTTCTGTTCCTTTCTTTTTCCAGATCACTCAATCTGTCAGGCCTCCCCTGCCTCATTTCCAACCTTCCCCTCAGCGAGCAGCTTTCTACCTCAGTCTTGTAAGTACACCTTCAGTACGTTTGGTTGCACTGACTTACATTTGGTGAAGTGAGTTGCACTGCTTCTTGTGCATGCACGCAAATTATGACCAGATACCAGAATTCAGAACTGCTCGCCCCCAGTGCTGCAGGTTCTGTGCCTGACAAAGTCTCAAACTTCCTGCTTTTCTTCTTACCATACGACACAGTGGTACAATGAATTTGTAGGATTAGTACCTCCCAGTCTATGCGTGTATATTGAAGAAAAAATGGCTGGAACAGAGATGCAGTTTGGTTTATCCTTGGGGTTTATTCCAAGTGCTCTGACATGCTGCTATGGTTTGAGTGTTGGAAGTGGTCGTGACCTTTCTGCTGGCATCAGTTCCTTCCCAGGGAATAACTGCAGCTGACTGCAGTGTTGGTTTTGTTGTTCCATCCCCACAAAAGATATTCTGAGAGTCTGTGTTTTTCTGTTCCTATTATTAGTATTACTGCAGTATTAGGGTGATGGCTCACTGAGGTACATAGATTGCTCTGAAAGGAATGCCTCCTATTTATTTCCAAAGAAATGACAACGGATACATAGGGCGAGTTCTCAGCTACAAAGCTGTTTCTCAACATGGTCACCACCATTAACTATCATTTTGCTGTTTTTTTTTTTTCCCTCCAGTGTTGAGCAAGAGCCTGCGTGCTGTGCTTGTTTAAAAAGAAATAATAATAATTAAAATAAATCCGTTTGCTGTCTGGGTGGCTCGTCTTGCGTTGCTGTTGCCACTGCTGAAATGCACCACCACTGCTTCACTGCGCTCACCTCCATGTGCCAGGCTTCATAAATTTCAGCAGGCATTGATGGATGTCAGTGGTGCGATGTTTTCAGTGTGGAGGAGTTCAGGGACACCCTGTGCTCTGTGAGCACTTCCGAGCCAGGTGCTGTGCTGTCATTCTGGCCCTCTGCTGCCGTCTGTGGCACGGCTGCAAAATGTAACTGAATGCTGGCAGGAAGGTTCAGCCTCTGCTGTCATCCCACCAGCGTCCATCTGTGATGTTGTGGGCCGGCTTTATAAGACAGGAGGCATTACTTTTGGATCAGCCCTTGTGTAGTTATGAAAAATTAAGGTTTATAAAGGCTGGCTGAGTAAATTGGTGGCTGCTAATGAGATCCACAACTACAGGATAACAGTAGTTAGACACCGATAGCTTTCAAGGTCAGTTTAGATTACATGGCTGTGTTGGGTTATTTTTTATTTAATGTTGTGTTTCATTGCAGTATTTTCTGAAAAATCCTCAGGTGTGGCATTTTGAATCTGCCAACTCTGGTATTCTTGAGCAACTCCATCCTGTAGAGGTAAGTGGATTAGTTCTCATACTCGATTGTAAAACTGCTGTTAAGAATTGGTATTGCAAGAAAGAAGCCTTCTTTTGTTTTATAATATGGAATTACAAAGTCAGAAGTAGAATCCTGTATGTGGAAGTAATGTAAGGTAAGTTGTACTCGTCTCTTCTGAGAGGAACTTTGGGGTCTTTGGTGTGCATTCATAAAGTGCTGATTAGTCTGGTGATGCAGATTGTTTTGGAGGTCTCAAACACTGCAGCCTTTTAGCAGATACACGCTTTGAGAGTAGTGATTGACGTGGTTCCAGCGTGACAGTGCAGCACACGGGTGTCCTTTTCCATCTTCGGGCCCACCTTACTGCCTTTCCAACCTGTGCACTGAGTTGCAATGACATGTCAGTATCGGATCCGTCAGCACTGTGCTGAGCCTCGCCTTACTCATACTCACCACTGGATGTTGCTCAGCTTTAGCAATCGTGTTTCTGCTACAGAAGGGCTTGCAGGATATCTGTAGTATTGATCTGGCCCGAAGGTGACAACCTTCCAACCTGCTGGTCTCTGCCCATGTTCTCTGTCACAACATCGGATGTGTGTGCTCGCTGGATGCACTGGTAAGAAATGTATTTGAGAAGAGAACCTCGTGCTTCCCAGAGCAGTAAGACTGTGAGGATTTGGGAGGCTTTTCACAAACCTGATTCAAGTGTGCTTTCCCAGATGGCGTGCTGTTAAAGCAGCCCTTCTCAAAAGCAGAGCGTTGTGCCTGGTGTGACTTAAATCCCACCCACAAAGGAGCATTCCCTGCAGTCTCAGGTGCATGTTTCCCCCACTGCTGGAACTGCTGGACTTTCATGCCTTCACTGTGTGTGTTTGGGTCTCTTTATTAGCTCTGTTTGTTCTACTAGCTGTATGCAAACGTATTGGGAGGAAATGAAAAGATCTTTGAAAATAGCTTGGAGATATTAACCTGAGGCAAGAAGGCGAATTTTATTGCCTTAAATCAGGCTTCAGAGGATGTCCTTGAACTCAGAAGCTTGGACTTTGTTGTAGCTTGATATTTACTGCTTGAACTTTCTATAACTCTAGGACTGGAGGGAGAGCTTTTCTTCACACCTTGCTGTGTATGAAATCTACACTTGAACTGGACTCGAGACGGGCAGAAATGTAGCTGAGCGGAGCCTCCAGCAGCTCAGCCCTTTCCTTCAAACAATGAAGATGGCTTTAATATTCGTAAGTCAGAAATCTCGTATCAAAACTTAATTCTGGTATGGACACAGCCTCGCTGTGGAAGACGTGGCAGGTGTGGTCTTTGAGTCACCACAGGTGTGGGACACGTGAAGTAATCTGGACGTGTTTCAATTTCTGTGTATTTTTCCCCGTTTCTCTGATCATTTCTCTGTATTGCTGCATATGGCAGGGATTGCTGTCCTGGCCCAGAGCTCTGTTCCCTCATGGGCTGCACTCGTTTTGCTGTCCCATCATTTGGGTTGCACAGGCCATCCACGGCCAGTGTTCCCATCCTCCTGGGCCTCCACACACATGGCAGTTAGCAAGAAAGAGCAAAGTTGTTCAACCTTGTCCTAAAGTTATCAATCTGTTCATCCAACCTGTGCCTTGGTCGCAGTGGCAGCGTGCCGTTAGCAATGCCGTTCATTGTTTCATGAGATTCAGTGTTAGTCATTTTAGAATGCCCATCCCTGCGATGTATTCTGGGGCGGGGACAGTCATCACAGGATGCAGTCGTTGGGGGAGGTTTCCTATTCTCATTTCTATTTGTGTTTGTACAGCTTCAGTTTGTTTCCCTCCCAGCCCTATAATAATTACCAGTTGTCCTTCACGTTTCTTGGGGTTCCCATATGTTAAGGAGGTCTCTGCTCCGGGGTCATTTAAGGCTCTTACAGTTTGCGAGGACCCGTTTTTCCAAAATATTTGGAGCTGCACGAGGGGTTGTTGGTCCTGCACCCGTTGCGTTGGAGCTTGGCCATCATTTCATTCTTGTCTTTACCTGGAGCTGCTTCCCTAACCTCCTTCCAAGGTTACAAACTGGAACATGGTTCCCAATCCTTCTCCCCTAGAGCAGCTGATCCTCCCGCGTTGGGCCCTGTGAGCAGATGAGAGTCCCACTGAGGCTCTCAAGGGAGTGCAGTAGCTGGAATTGTTCCTGGGCTGTTTGCTTTAGAATGTGGCACTTTCTTGCTAGGTTTCTTAACCCCTCTCAGTTTGTGCATCCTCTGTAATTCAGGAATTGGAAAACCATCCGTCTTATTGTGAGGCATCCTGTCTTGTAATAAAGCTATAAACACTTATTTTCAAGAAATCCTATTTTCACTGCC